GGGGGGGGGTTGCTGCTTAGACACGGCCTTCATAGTAACTGAGTCCTGCCTCCACGACCATGGTGGGTTGGGGTCCCACCCATCTCCCTCTGCTGACTTGTGCCCTCTTGCTATTGCTGTGGAGGTCTAATGGGCTTGTAGGGAGAGGCAGGCACTGGGCACCCAAGGAAGACCAAGCACACGCCATAGGGAAGGAGATGCAGCTTGGCCACGACGAGACCATGAAGAGGCGCCTTGGCACCATGCACGCCCTGTCCAGGCAGTACTGGCAGTACCTGGCCTGTGGATTGTGGCAGGCGGGCTGCGAAGGAGAGGAAGATGAGCAGGCTGACATGGATCAGAAGGGTAAGGAGCTGTCACATATCTCCTCCCTGCCCTAGCTTCAGTAATGATGGATGTAGACATCCCTCTCCATGCCTCTGCCCACAGCCAATGCTCTTCTGTGTAAAGCATCTCTTGGGTTTGGTGCTGCCAGCTTGGGGGGGGCTGTGTTGATGCACACTGTTCCTGCACCATGGGGTCAGATGGGAAGCATCACTACCACTGGGTGAAACTGGGACTAATGCCCACACTGGGATTGCTCAGCCAGTGCCAGTCATCACAGGCCCATTATACTGTCTGACAGCAGCTAAGCTAACTTGTCAGTACGCTTCAACTATGAATCCGGTGTGCACGGATTTCTTCCTACCAAAGCCAGTGTCTGTGTGGGCAGGTGAAGTGCTGCTGTACCTCAGGTGGTGCCTTTGTGTCTCTAGGTTCATTACTGCTGGTAACGTGAGGTTTCATTGGTGTGCACTGTCGCTGGCAACATTAACACTCTGCTTCCATACACCCAGAGGGTGAAGCACTAGCAGTTGTTAGGCAGTGCTGAGGCCCTGCACATGATGAGATTCATTTACTGGGGCTCATGTAGTTGTATCCAAGATGCATCATGTGGGGCAAGGCAATGGTCTGTCTCCAGCAGGGTTAGAGAAAGCCCAGCCTAATGTGGCAACACGGCAGTCTGTATTTGGCTTTTTGCCTCCTCTTTTAGCATTCTTCTCAGGGGTGGTCATGCTTACACACAGTAATGGGGCAGCTGGCCTCCATCCAGTACCTGCTCTATGTCATGGTGGATACCATGTCACTGGTGGTTGTTTTGTGGCTACAAGTGGTGGTGTCTGACATCTAGCACGTGCCTAGGTAACACAAGAATGAGAGTGAAGAGCTTATTTCCCAAGATGCAAACACTCTGCTGGTCCCTTTCCTTTCTTACTGGTACTCCTTTCCTAGGGTGGAGTTTGCCCCTGGAGGTGTTATCCAGCTGGTACTGTAGCTTCAGCAAGTGCTGCGAGACAGGAGACTGCAGAGTAACCAACAACATCACAGGTAAAGGCCTTGGAGAGATGGGCCCAGTGTTGGGAGGGGTCCTACACTGGGACTTGGGAGACCTGGAGTCAATTCTACCATGGTATCCCTGTGTGAAACCTTGGGCAAATCACTTAGTCCCTTCTGTGTCTTAGTTGTCCCATCTGTTAAATGGAGATAACAGTACCACCCTGCCATTAATGCAGTGAAGGCTGTGTGCTGCCCAGATCCCATGGTAACAGGGTGCCTGAAAGAGTTTTCTAGTCAGCTGGAGTAAAACCTGATTCTCAGCCTCTACAGCTAAGGGCAAATGGCCTTTCTTACCCGGTGCTGAGCTTGTTGCAGTGCTGGGGGACACATGGCTGGTCCCATTCAGAATGTTCTCTGCCTTGTGGAAGTGGGATGCACTGTCCCTTATCTTACTGCAAAATTTGAATGGTCCAGGGCCAAGAACTTTCTGGAGGTCCTAAGATGCTGCCATTGCTCCCCAGTCACCCCTTTGTATGGAAGGGAGTGGCAACCCTGTCCCATGAGTGCTGCTAAGCCTTTCCCCTTCTCCAAATCCCATTCCTAAGGGCAAATACTGAGGAAGCCCGTGTAAAAGTGCCTCCAGCTAGGAGTGGCCTGGTCATCCAGGCCAAACAACTGCACCTGAACAGTTTGGTGCTCTTTTGCAGGCATTAAGTATCATCCTCATTTTCCAGAGTTGAAAACTGAGTCAGGGAGAAGTTAAGTGACTTGCCCTGGTCAGTGGCAAACCTAGGAATGGCGCTTCAACACCCCAATCTCCAGCCCTGTGATCAGATGGTTAGATGTGCTGTCTTCCAGTCTGACCCTACATTAATACTGCTGCACAGAGTCCACTCAACGGTGCCTTTCCTCCAGCAATGCAAGGCAGAAAGCCTCAGCTCTTGGCAAAAATGCTGCAAAGCAGCCTCTGTGCTTGTTCCTGCCAGACTGCTTACAGGGAGCTTGGAGCTAATGCCGCACGCTCTTGTTCTCCAGGGTTAGAGTCAGACCTGAACAGGAGGCTCCATGGGCAGCACCTGGCAAGGAAGCTCATTCTGAGAGCAGTGAGAGGGTTCCTGCAGCGCCCTCAGCCGGAGAAGGCGCTGGTTCTGTCGTTCCACGGCTGGTCAGGCACCGGGAAGAACTTTGTGGCGCGGATGATTGCTGATCACCTGTACCGAGATGGGCTGAAGAGCGAGTGTGTTAAAGTCTTTATCTCGCTTTTTCACTTCCCACATCCTGCATACTTGGACTCCTACAAGGTGAGAGCTGGGCAAATCTGCTGTGCAGGCACAGCAGGGGCGTCCCTTACTGCTTGTTCAGTCCCAAACTTCAGGCACAGCTTGTGGCAAAGGAGAGGGGCAGGAGCACTGGATGAGGGAGAACCCAGTGCTGCTCCCCACAGGCTGGTGTATACTGGCTAGTGGCAAGCTCACAGCTGCTGTATTCAGATTAGGGATCAGAAGTGTAGTGAGGGGGTGAGAGGCACCTGCCCCAGGCATCCATTTAGGAGTGGGGCTAGAATTTGCCCTGCCACACGCACCCTGGCAGAGCCTGTACTCCAGCAGTGAGAGCAGGCCCACAACTTACCCATGCTGAGAACTGCAGCAGTCCCTGGCTGCTGCTGCAGCTTTAAGAGCCAGGACAACCAGAGCATACATGGGTGCCAGTAGCTCAGCTGGAGACTACTGAGGAGTCCCTGGCTTGGGTAAGACTGCTGTGCACTGTCCCCCTCCCCCAACTCTCCTCTGCTCTTGGAGCGAACACCCACCCACTTCTTTCCCCCTATCCCAGATCTCCTGCAGGGTTTGCCCAGGACACGAGCTCCACTTGTGAGAGGCTGCCTGAGAGCAGGATGCTTGACAGGTACACCCTCACCCATGGTGGGGTGGTGCTGGAAGTGAACATTACTTGCCCTTCATGCCAGGACTCTACTCCCCACCCAAGTCCTATCTATCACTTCTTCCCAGCAGCTCATGTAGCCTTCGTGCTGATTTGCAGGTTCAGCTCAAGAAGCAAATCAGTGAGACGGTGAACTTCTGTGAGCAGGCCCTGTTTATCTTTGATGAGGCAGAGAAGCTTCATACGGACCTGTTGGATACCATCAAACCCTACGTGGATCACTATGACAGCATTGGCCAGGTGGACTACAGGAGGTCCATCTTTTTATTTCTCAGGTGACTACCAAAGGCTACAGGAAGAGACAGGTTGCCTTTCCCAAGGGTGCTTAACATCCAGGTTGATGGCCCAGGTCTGGCAGGCCTCTTACAGGAATGTTGCTTGACTTGGCTGTTACTCACCTGCCAAGCTCAACACCAAACCATTCTATGTCTCGAGTCCCAAAGCAGAGAATAGTTTATGACCAGTGCCAAAAGGCTTCTGTCCTGGCCAGCTGCAGGGAGAAGGGTGGGAGAAGCAGTTCTCAGGACAGAAAGCAAACTAACTATTAGCAGGGGAGTTGGGAGAGTGAAAATAGGCGTTGGAGCTCATAGAGGAAAATGGCAGAGCCTTCTAGAGCTTCCGCTAGGAGGGAGTGAACATCTACTCCTCACATCGCCATTCCCAGAAAGAGCTCCCAGAGCCTCTTGGGATGGGTAGGGAGAACCATGTATGTATCCACCAGTCTTCTCCATCTTTCCGTGGGGGAGGCTACCCAGTTCTGCTCTCTCTCCTTTGTGTGCAACTGTCTGGGAGGAGGGGGCTCCCCTTAAATCAGACCTGGGAAGCCAGTAGAAAAGGAGTTTGCTTTTCTTGAAGGAGGAACACAGGTCCCTCAATATGTCCCTCAGACTTGAGCACTAGCTCTTCCACAGAACAGGCAAAGCAGCCTGAGACATGGGTCTAGGGCAGAAGGCTGCACATGCTGGTTGACTAGTACTGGAGAAAGTGTGATTCTGTGGGATGGGGGATGGCTAAGTTGCAGCATATGTGCTAGAACTGGTACGGGAAGCTGCTGTGTGTGGGATACAACATGCGGCAGATATTGCAGACAGCACAGGGCAAGAAGCAGAAAGCAGAGCAGCAGATGGGGCAGGAGAAGGGGATGGGTGCTGGGCTAACTTGTGGCACACCTGCCAGAAAGGCTGGCCCTCACTGCTGTGGGAAATAGGAGTTCAAACTGTTTCTTCCCTTCCTAGTAATAGTGGTGGCAACACCATCAATGAAGTGGCCTTGGATTTTTGGCGAGCTGGACAGGCCAGGGAAGAAATCACCATGGAGTACTTAGAGCAGCGCCTGCGGATGGAGCTGAAGGAGTCCCCAGGTAACTGCACCAGTTGCTGTGGAGCCATTTTAGAGTTCTGCCATCAGAACGTCTCTGTGTTGGTCGGAGCTGGAGACGGCACCGAGGGCACTTGCAGCACAGCAACCTAACTTACTCCACACTGTGCTGTGGGTCAGGGTTCTCCCCATCTACAGCCATTCAGCGCTAGACTCAAAGTTGTTGGGAGGTGGGCTACAAGCACCCTAATGCCCCTGTAGGCACCTGCTGCTGCAGTCAGACATGTCCATAACCATGGAGTCCTATTTGAGCTGCTCAATCTTTCTTGCTACCATTCACAGTGTAAGTGTGCTGATGCCCTTCTCACTTGTGGGCCCAGACCAGGGAGGCGGACTCAGAGCACATGTCCCATCTCTTTTCCCCAGCATTTCCTGCTGGTGAGCTTAAGCATTTCCTGGCTCTTGTAAATCCTGTTCCTAGGTGCCTCCCTACAACTGCGCTGAAAGAGAAACCAGGCACCTAAATTAGGGCTATGAGTGTGCCTACCACATCTCCCCTTTTGACTTTCCCTCACTTACTCATGAAAAACAGCCTAGTAGTGATAGTTCCCTGAAACTATATTTGAGGCAAACACAACTTGTCCCTAGTGATGAAAGCAGGTTCCATGTATCAGCTGCAGAAAGTGTAAATTCTGGCCAAATTTCCTCCCACTGGGAAGTGGCAAGCTGTGAAATACTCCTCATTCCCTTTCCCAGCTGAATAACCGAGTTGCATCCAAGACTCCTTCATTCAGTACAGAGGGGACCTTTCATTTACCAAGGGATGCCTGTAAATAAATTCCAGCAAAATGAAACCAACTACAAAAACAGCATACTGTAGTAGGTCTGAACTGTGTCCTTAATAGCCAACTGGTTAGTACAGTTCTATTACTATTCGCATCTTCCATCTCGGGCAACACAAACAGCTCCATAATACACTGCTAAATGCAGGGTCACTAGGCATCTTATAGACTAAATCAGAAATGCATAAGCTTTTGAGAGCCAGAGATCATTTAATCAGATGCTATGGAAGGATGTGCAGAGAGCAGGTTCTCAGGAAGAGTGATTTGCTAAGTGTCCTTGTTGGTTGGTCTTTCATTGCAGGAACTGCCTTTGCCCATAGTCACCTTCTTGAAGAGAACCTCATTGACTTCTTTGTGCCATTCTTGCCCCTGGAGTTTCATCATGTGAAGCTGTGTGCTCGAGATGCTTTCCTGGCCCAGGGACTTCCGTACACAGAGACAGCACTCGATGAGGTGGCCAGAATGATGGTATTTGTACCTAAAGACGAGAGGCTCTTCTCTGCCCAGGGCTGTAAATCGGTGTCCCAGCGCATCAACTATATTCTCCCCTAACATGAGCTGGGGGCTGCCTCGCTTGCACAAGCTGGATACAGATTCACCACCTGTGTAGTAATGGGAACTTGAAGTTCTCACTGAAGGGGCCAATGTAGCAGGAGAGGCTGGAGCCTTCCACTTTTAGGCACAGCTCAGGATTTGCAGTTGTGTGACACTCCTACAGCCTTGATTTGGCAGAATGGGCAGCCCGGCCTTCTGGAAGCCTCATCGTGTAGCAGGCAACTCTAGCAGGAAATGATCATCCAGCACTTAATGGAAATGTTTGGTTGGTGACTGTTTTCTTTCATATCAGCAGAGTAGGTTGTATAAGAGCTGTGGTTCTGGGCATCCTAATTACTGTCCTGGGGATGTCTGTGGTGCTTTTCCTTCAGCCCCTCCCCTGTAAGTCATTTACAAGACTCAAGTCAAATGAAATGCATATCTCCACCTTCATATATCTACAGCTCTCTATAT